CTTCCTTCAGCGCCTACGGGCTGGCAAAGAAGAGTAGGTCTCATGAGTTCTCTCAAGAGTAGGTTCTCTTGGGAGAAAAACCAAAAGGAACCTTACACAATATTGTATCTCTGTAACTATCAGGAAACTTGCCTTTCCAACGTACCTATTTTTTTTTTTTTTCCTTTTCCTGTTTTCATGTCAGCAGACAGGTAACTAAAGCATGACTGTATCATTAACTTCTTGATTTCCCAGTAACAAAGATGTGCTATACGCACATATATGAGGATGGAGTTAGTTTGTATTTGCAAAATGAAAATATTTTCAAATTGAATCAGATGAAATGGCTGAAGATAGGCTGCCAAGATAGAAATCCTAACACTGAAACATTACCACAAATTGGAGTAATGAATAACAGAAATTATGTTTAAAAAACAATGCCCATTGTTTTACATTTTAAAAATTTCTTCAACCATACAACGCAACATCCTTTGAGGGGTGGGGCGTTCCTGGGAATATTCCTCAAGAACAATCAACTTTTAAAAATACACTTCTGCATTGTGTTTGATTGGTTGACTAAAATAAATTCTGAAATGACTATAATAATTAGTATTTGCTATATATAATTGACTTTTTCTCTGCAATTTATTGCTAATCTTGAGTAATTCAGATAATTTTTGGTAAATCATTAAAGAATCAGACTTTAGTTAATAGTCACCCGATTGTTACTATATCATATCTGAAAAGAACTGAACTGTTGTAATTAAGTTTATATAGTGTTCCTTGTCATGATTGTTTCTTTCTGTGTAAAAAAAAAAAACAAAACAAAAACACCAACCAAAGCTCTGATATGGCCTGCATATATTATGTATTTGTTAAATTTAGCACAACTCTTGTCTTGGACTGACATTCAGAGAAGATACGACATTGCACTTGCTACTTTTAATTGGTGTTTATTAGAATCCTGTGCAGCGTCTCCTCTTTCTATGCTATGACTTGTAAATAGGGCTGGTACCAATGATTTCGCAAAGCAAGCACTTCATATTAGAGCCATTTATGATTAGCATTGCCAAATTATTGGTAGTAACTTGTTTATTAACGCCTAAAGAAACAGAAGAATATGTGAATGCTGCTGCTGTTTCAGAATTTTGAGGGAAAACACCTTTAAAGTAGATTCAAATTAAAGAGCGATAGATTGTTTACACAATCAATTCAGAGAAGATGGTGTTTTCTCAGGTTATGCTATTAAGAAATGTACATGACACACAAATAACTGTGAACCTCTTGCAATCAATGTGACTTTTCCCCCCATTGACTTCAGAAAAGGAAGACAGTCCCCAAATTAATGAAAAATTCTTTATCAATGTGTCTCTGTTCTAGACATAAAGGGGTATACATTTAGTAAGTATGGATATTTTAATCCGGTTGCAAATTCTTCTCAGACACTTTCACTCTGAAACGATGCTTTTAAAAGCAAATACTATGGATAGGGAGTACCGATAGATTCACAAAGAGAGATACATTATAAAACCAACGTATATTGAAATAAATGAAATGTTGCCAGTTAGGTTATTTTCAACGGCCAAAATCTACTTTACTTGCTTCCCTATAATTTTAACAGCAGTGGTAAAAATGATCAAAGACTTTTTTATTCCCATTCGTGCTGCTTTGTGAAACAATGCTTTGTGAGCAATGACAAAGGCAGAATATAATTCCTTATGCCATTTAGTACTTCCTGAATAGAGAGTGTATATCTTCACAAATATCAAAACACAAATTTACTTTTTAAATTCTGTGACAGATAAGCCATATTTTCCATGAAGGGCTTATTATTCCCCACTGAGCCATGCGCTGGTGTATAATTTGAAGTTTGACACCATTTGCAAGTAGGAAAAAATATTCAAGTATTAGCAAGTATTGCCCACCATGCAATTACGTGCCAGAACAGATTTCAAAATACAGAATTATTATTTTAAAAGTTATTTTCATGCAGAAGAAAGAAATAGTTACCAGTGTGGAGTGTGTTACAGAGCATGTCTATGAGAAGCACTGACAGAATGGTGTCAAATACTTCCAAGACTCAGCGGTGGAATGGGAGAGACAAAAGGGCTTTGGGTCGGGGTTTGAGGGAGGGACCTAGAAGACATGAAGATTGTATAAATACATCTCGGGTCTCTTTCGCAGACTAAGATGTAGTGGCTTCTCCTTCCTCCCCCACCCCCCACTTCTAAGAAAACACGCTAAATGTAAATTTTACAAATTTTCTCTTAGAAAGTTAGTAATGTTCAGGTATTTTATGATTTAATGGGTATGAAATAATTAGTTCAGGATGTATTGACAAGTGACAAATCTTTTAAACTCTAAATTTCTGATTTGTGTCTCAGCCAAGAAGCAAAGTCTCAAAATAGGACATTATGGCTGTCTGAAAGATTGCTATCAACATAGGTAGTGATCTCAGTTCAGTTCACAATGCTCAAAACAGCCACGTTGTAAAAATGCCTTCCCAGCTACGCGAGCATGCATCTCCACCAGCAGCTTTGGCACAAAGGGAAACGTGGCCACCCTGACAGTAACCCTTCTAACTCATGGTTTAAGCACAGGAGCTGGAGAGTGGGCGTTAATGAAATTAAATGGTTGCTCTTTAGTTCTGAAAGTATCTTACACACTTGGACTTGCCTTAGGCATGACTTTCATGAAGGAAAGCAAGACAGACAGACTTTGAAAAACTGTCAGAAAAAGTAGTACTAATATTAAAATACGCTGAAGATGACTAAATGGACAACACCAGACACCTATGAAAATTTTTTCAAAACACATTTGGAAGCTCTATTAGATTATAATTTTGTAAAATAGTAATTTGTTACTCTTGGGGCAAACAGATAAGAATATGCAAACACTCTTGGCTTTGGGTATTCCATTTCACTAGGAGGTACCTCTCCAGCAGCAGACTGGACTGCTAATTGAATAAACGAGTGGAGTCAACACACAGCAGAAAAGTTTCCTGACTTTTTTTATGGGCTTTGGTTGCTGGTTATATTGCTCATGTACAGTTCTAGAGTATGACTCACTCACATAATGGACAGAAATTCATTGCGCATTAATGTCTTGAAGAAAATCCTTATCCCATTAAGAGAGAAACCTTTTGACCTTATGTAGAAAATTATACTTGCTTCCAGTAATGGTAAAATTGTATCTTTGCAATGAGTATATTTTGATAATTAATGCCAGCAAGATCAGACAACAAAGTGAATTCCATTTTCTGATTACAATGCATAGTGTGCTTTTAATGCTCTATATTATCCAAGGTTGCTGTCAGCTTGCCTAATACCATTGAATCTGAGGAGCTCTTGAGCAAAATATTTGGGCAACAGAAATGTCACTTGTGTTATTTATGGATATGGACTCTTTATCTTCCTTTTTGCTGCAAAGCAAATGTTGAACCAAAGCAGACTGGTATCTCAGTGGCTACTTTACAATCATTACCACAGAAACAGTACCTTATTCTCAAATCATTGTGAAACTATTACACACAGTAGAAGAGAACATATAAAGTACACGTATCCTTCAGTAACTGTTTCTGAAGCTTACAAAAGAACTAACTACTAAGAAACTGTGTAGTATGAAAAGATGCATGCCTTTTATGGTTAAGTAAGTGTCACCTATTCAGCAGTCCTGGCTGGTGGAAAATAAATCTCAACATGCACATTCTCCATGGATAGTAGTCTCAAATTGAATCCACAAAAGCTCAGAGTCCTGGACTTCACTCAAGTATACCACAGCATTTACAAAAGTTTTAGCAAATGTATTCTAAACAGCACAAAAGTTTAAGTAATCTGAATTTTTCCATTTTTGCATGAAAGCCAGTTATCACAAAGTTTGACAAATGCAACCACTCTTTCAAGAGTGGCAGAGAGAGGGTTAATGAACCACAACAACACTTGGATTGTGCAGAAGACATGCTTTTTGCTCCTGCATGTGTTCACTGTCCTGCCTATGAAAGTGAGGGGCTGATAAGGGAAGAAAATACATTTCCCTTTGTAGTTGTCTCCAAGTTGAAACCTTGATTTGAAACATCCTTAATTCGCTGTCATAGTGACAAGGTGCAGCGGTATGTTGTCCTATACATACCAGCACAGAGAACGGTCTCTGCAAAATTCTTGAAGAGAAATCACCAAGCAGAGCTATCCTCAGACAGACAATTCTTAAGATACAAGAAGGTGGCAAACAACATTCAGCAACTAACTGGTGTACTGACACCTGCTTCACAATCAGTCTTACTGCATTAGTCTCTGTGAAAAAATAGTACTAGATATATAGTGTTACTTATACATTGTGATGAAACCATTTTGAGCACTTTTGATTTTGACCTTTTGCATTAACTCTGAATAGGGCCTAAACGTCTCTAATTGAACTTGATACCTACTGATTTTCTACTACGTTAACATGCATGTTATTTATGGAGGCATTTAAAACCTGTTGTTTTACAGAAGCATGGAAAATGATGTTATCTCTTCAGGTGAATTCATCTCCTCTGTATGCGCTCACAGGAAAGCTCTGAGTGAGTTAATTGCCTAGATTCCCTTTTTAGGCATATGGAGGAGAAAAGAGATGTTTTTTCAGTCACTGCTCATCTCATCCTGTGATAGGTATCTAAAACATGGTAGAGGAATCCTGCTCCAAACCATGCACTTATCTCCAGTAACTACAGAAGGAGTTAAGGTCACTAGCGGATCTATACAAATGTACATTGTGGGCACCTACAGTTAGACAAAATGAAGATCATCTTTAGTAACTAAATGTTTTCTTAGAAATCCACAATATCATGACTCCAAATAACCTTGCTTATTTCTGGACAAGAGGCATTCCTTGAAAGTGTGATGCAATATTTCCAACATACAACAAGCTATGTGCTGTGCATATAACATCATAAGACTTAAAAAAAAAAAGAAAAAAAACAAACCACAAAACAAAACAAAACAAAAAACCACAACAAAAAAACCCAAAACAAAACACAAACAAACAATGTTTTCTTACCATGGCAGGAGCCATCCACTTCTTCATATCCTACACTGCAGATGCATCGTCCAAGAGGCACAAGCCAATCCCCATCTGCTCCGCAATACAATTTTGGAGTATCACGTTCCTCAGCGCTCTTCACACAGGAGCCCCGTACTTCCACCAAAGAGGAAGAATCAACCCTTGGAATAGTATCAGGAAACATAGCCAAATTACGGACCGTGAAAGGGCACTTTTTGTAATAAACACGGACTGAGACCAAAGCAATGCATGCTCCAATGTCCTGAAAAGCAAGATAAAATCCTTTCTTGTTTATTGGCCCAACCTCACGAACTTCTGTGTTGAGTTTAAGAATGCGGTCACCCAAGTCCATCTGGGTAAAGCTCTCATCAGCTGCAATAGTATCAATTTTGGTGTACTGGTTTGGCTTGAATTTTACTCCATGAGACTCATCTGACTCCATGTAGTAGAGATTGAAAGTTTCCTTGCAGGTTCCCAGTACCCATGGAATACTGTTGCAGTCCCGCAGTGTAAACTTCATTTCCACATAAATTTTCTGTGCAGCATCACGGGAGATCCAGTTTGTTCGAAGCCAGTTGTTTTGGTTTGGTTCCATCACATTACATACCTGGTAAGTATGAATTGGACGATTGTGTTCATCCATTTCAGTTATGGCATCCCACTGAAAAGAAAATAAAATTGTTTGAAAACTAAGAAAAATAGGTATTATGCGTATGCATATACACAGAGCCCATGTATACACACACACGCGCCCCATGTATATAGACCTATGGCTTAACTAAGAATAATTATTTACTTAGAGTTTAGTGGAAAGCCAGTAGTTAAAAGCAGATACCAACTACAGAATGGTATAACAAGTTTTATTTCAGAAACTCTATGATAAATTTCTATTAATGAAAACATTTAAAAATCAATGTGGCTCAGTAGAAGAGGGAAATACTGGCCATGTTTATATTAGCAAATTTAATAAGTCTGAGAACATTCCCGGGCATGTCATTCAATCATCTATGTCAAAAAAACCTGCTACAACAGTCCGGTTTGGTATGCCAGTGGGCTGGCTCTCTGGCAGTCCTCCAAGCAATTCCCACAGCTCAGGCACATGGCACTGGCCAGGCACCTGCAGCAGTCGGCAGTTAGGATGCAGCCACTCTGGTTTGGTGGGTCTGAGGTGTCTGGTGTAGGTTGTCCTGGTTTACACAATTGCCCTAGAAACATTTAACTGTATATAGAGATGTTACGTTTCTGGCCTCATAGGGTCTGTATTACACTTATTTCCACTAAAAAAAAAAAAAAAAAAAATCTGTCACAGGCATCATGCCATTGTTGTTGTCTTTATAAATTCTCTTTCTTACAGTTTGGAGGTGAAGGAGGAATTTTTTTTCCTCTCCCCTTCTCCCCCCACCCCCCCAACGATTTAGGTTACATCAAGCTTCACTAAAATGTTCTCAAATTCTGGTGGAAATTCCAGCATAGAGGCTCTCAAAAAACATTAATCTTAGAAAAATTATCCATGTGCTATGTATAAAAGGCTTATCAAATGCCTAACTTATTATATAATCTGCTACTCTAAAAGATTACCAACATCCCCTAAATAGCTTCAATATAATCGAGTCAACTTTCCACTAAACACTCCTACTATCAATATAGCATTAGATATAGATGTTTTCTTATCAAAACATCGAACAACTTACAGTTCTGTATCCAAAAATATTGTGTACCACCAGAAGTTTTACCATGGCTTTTAGATGTACTGTTGTCTTATGGCATTGACATATCAAATAAGCCAAAAACCTGTTCATAAATATCACTCAAAATGCCAGACTACATTGTTTTAATGCTATGAAACATCAAAATATACATTATTCATGTTTGTGGTTTAGCATACTTGGAATAGGTTTATTATGAACACATATTTAGTTAAAATTATTTGTCTGCAAAAGATGCATAAGCTTAAAATTGAGAACGCAGAAGTTTAAAAGTTTATGGAGTATTTGCACTCTTACCAACTTCCTCAAATTTTGCAGTTACTGTGGTTATGTATGGCATTTTAAAATTTTATTAGTTACATACAGGTGTACACATACAACATGCCAAAGCACAGGTTCAAATTATGCACAATATGCAATTCTCAGTACAAAACCAAGATACGGACCTTATACGCCATTGTTCAAACATAAATTCAAGTTCTCTTAGCCTCATGATACATCAACCCCGCACATCTTTCTGCTTTAATACACACAGTATCAATATTTTTAAAATTAAAGTTACGCTCCTAAAGATGCATGTTGACTACTTGAGCAGCTGAATATTCATAGTGCCTACTTAGTTCAGTATTACAAAGAAGGTATGGTTGGCCCCGTGGCCTACCGGATTAAGAAAACCTGGGAGCTCTGCAGAAAAATCGGGTAAGTGAAGGCCTTCATCGGCCATCACTTTTGGGGATTCTTCCTATCACAGCAAGAATGATAACCTCATCTGAAGGTCCCGCCCTAAGAATCAGAAAACATACTTCATGACAGCCAGACAATGGCAGAACAATGGCAAACAATCTGCTGACTCTTAAGAAATTCTTATATGGCCAGGGGCTTTTGGCCTCTATGACTTGTACGCATTTAGAAAGGGCAAAGCAGCTACTTAAGCATTCATAGCAAGACCAGAACAAATTCAGATTTGGTCAAAATTGTATGATGAAGGACTATAGTTAGCACAGGGCTTCTTGTGCCGTTGTCCCCAAAATTGTTTTGGACTACGATTAAAGTCTACCCTGTAGCAAGCAATATAATATCCCAAGTAGATCTTGGCTTCGGGGAAGGAAAAGGGGACTTTCATGCTCTGGTGGGCCAGGCCTCTTCCCTTTTGCCAAGCATGAATCCACACAGCTTGAATTGATTCAAAATTCCACAGCCATGAAGGATTAAAGAAAATAATTAAAATTCTTTTTTAATTTTAAATGAAATTAAAATCCACAGCTCCAAGCCTTAAAATCTCACCAGAAGAGGTTCTTTAAAAACAACAGAGATAAGTCTCTCAGCCACTGATCCCCATTTTGCCTACTGTATCTATTACAAGAGCCACCTTTTTCTTCACATATAAAACACGTACTCTAAGTTTAAGCATTATTAAACAAATTTGCATTATACACAAATATAACCACAATGTAGATTTGGAAAAAAAAACCCAAACAGAAGTGCAAAAGGTTTTCTTTATTTATTTGTGTATCAAACCACATTAAAAGGAGGATGTGCTATATGCTCCAGCAGAGAGGTCTCAAAAAAAAAAAAAAAAAAAAAACCAAACCAAAACCAACCCACCACCAACCACAACCCACAAAAAAGCAAAAAACCCCCCCCCAAAACAAAAAACCAACCACATGAAAAACTCACCACACCAAACGCAGAATAAAAGAGTAGTAGGTGAGATGACAATGTAGTTTTTAAAATACAGAGCAGTTTTCAGAACTGGAGTAAACTAGCTTAAAGCAAAAAAGCCTCAACGTACTACTACCTCTTAAAAATATTAAGAAAAAAAATATCCAACATATCCTCCCCTTACCGTGAGATTCTCTTCAGAAATATTTATATATTCACTTTGAATCGATTTCTCAATTTGAACTTAGAAATTAAAGCCCTGAAGTTATCTGCTAACCATGCAGTTAATAATATAAATCTATTACTTCTATAGGAAAGGCTCAGCACTTCAATAACTGGTTTAAAAGAATAAAACAAGATGCATTGATCAAACATGGACAGTGCTTTAGTTCATTCAAAGCAGACCTTGTGTGCTTCAGGCCTGTGCCTTTCCATTGACTGCGAGTGAGGTGAATTCCACCACCCCAAAATGTCAATATAATTTACTGAAATGTCTGACAGAACTCAATCTGTTATAGTCTCCGACAAGGACACATTATTCCTGGGTGAAATACAATTTGGTTTTAATTTTACATACGTGTTGCATTTTTCTTCTGATAAAAACAGCCAGGAAATATTAAGCAATAGTTAAATTCAGTGCAAACAACAAAAAGCCAAACAATTTATCAAATACACACTAGTTCTCTTTTGGGTGAATTTCATATTATAGCTCCTAATTAAATGAAAAATATTTATAAACATTTTAGTTGTGCAAAACTATTCTTCACTTAAACCTTAAAAACAAACCAACAGATATTTGCACGAGATGTGATGTTGCACGAGAATGTGGTAGCTCCCCCTAGAATTCCTAACCTGACACGCACAAAAGCTGGCAGAAGCTGTCTGGTTTAGACAAGCTGACAGTTCAGACTTCTTTCAAACCGAGCCTCTTGGCATCCCAATGCACTGCATTATTTTCAAAATTTTTCTTATTACATTCCTTTCAAATGAGGAAAACTTCTGATAATGTTGATGGAAGCAGCAGCAGTGTAAAGCTAATTCTTACAACTGGAGTTCCAGGAATTATGAAGAAGAAATGCCAAAAACACGGTTTGGAAGAAAGACTTCAAAATTCTATTTTAACATTGTAATCAACAGCAGCATGGGAGGAGTAAATGTCACTAAAATAGATGAAGATGGAATGTGAAGATTGGTAGAGAGAAGATTTTAAGATTACTTGTCACATTCAAGTACAAAATATGAGATTAGGCTACAAACCACACTGAGATTTTAGTTAGATAAAATCTCAGCTGTTTTCATCTCTCTACAAGCTATTTCACCACCTTTCTGTTTCATTTTAGAACTTCACTAATATTTAACAGCTGTACAGACACTATAAGGAGCAAATTACCTAATTTAAATCTTGTACTAGCTATATATAATACTGAAATCTGTTTTCAGTGTTCCCCACTTTTTGTTATTCTGATTTTAAACCAAACACTATAGATTTATAAAATCAAGAAGAGCCATTTATTACAATTCAGTAGGTTGTATCATCAAAGGCTGTCTGAATATTACAAAAAGAGAGATTGCATTCACATATTTTATGTTATTTTTAAACATGTTACTGTCTGATAAGAAAAAGTCTTTGTTACCATGCTACAGAAAAGTAAAAACAGCGGGCCAGTTTCAGCCTGATGGAAGCAGTCATAACTTCCCTGAAGACACCAGTTATTTCAACAAATTCCAAATCTTGATTTATCTTTAAACCACCGTCAGCCTCTTAAGCAAACTCTTACTGAAGTCATATTGTGCTGCTTAAAGAAAAGAGATGTTAAACTGACAATTGGCACGATTTGCCCAGTACTAGCCATACACAACACTGGATTTAGAGGGGGAACGCAGATCAGAAAGGACTGAGAGGATATTAGCTCGCCCTGTTGTCACCTTCCAGCCCTCTGTAAAGTTGCGTGTTCTCACGTCAACCCTACGGCTCCTCTTTGACTTCCAGTCCCTATGGGCAGCAGAGAGCAGTCATGGCACTGCGCCAGAGCCAGGAATAGTGCATCTTTTCCCATGTGAAGACCTGCACTGCAGGCTCTTCTCCACTATGTCACTTGAACCTCTCGTTTCCCACGTTGGCAATCTCCATTGTACCATTTGCGTAGAAGCAAGGCCAAGCAGATTCTCACTGTTTAGCAGCAGCCTTATTTGCGCTTGAAGAATTCATTACAATATTTTATTTGTATGCCAAACTTTACTGTAAGAAGCTTTTCCAATTAATAGGGGTAGTTATATGAAGCAGTTGAAAAATGTTTATTTCGTAATGGGCTGATATCTACATAACCTCACATGTAGTGAAAGACACTTTTCCCACGAGTTGTCACACTGATTGATGAATTAATAGTGGGTTCTTAATCTCAGATAACAGTTATTCAGGCACTGATCCCAGCAGCAGTTTGGTAATCTAGGATGGCAGTTTTAGCACCTTGCACAGCTCAAGATTCTTTTTATTGACATTTTACTTCATTTAAAGGAAAAGGTAGGGACACTGGTTACTGTTGTCATTTAACCCCAGCCAGCAACTGAGCACCACACAGCCGCTCGCTCACTCCCCTCCCCGGTGGGATGGGGGAGAGAATCAGAAGAGTAAAAGGGAGACAACTTGTGGGTTGAGATAAGAACAGTTTAATAATTGAAATAAAATGAAATAGTAATAATAATAAGGATAATAATAAAAGAATATACAAAGCATGTGATGCGCAATGCAATTGCTCACCACCTGCCGACCGATGCCCAGCCAGTTCCTGAGCAGTGGCCCCTCGGCCAGCTTTCCCCTAGTTTATATACTGAGCATGACGTCATATGGTAGGGAATATCCCTTTGGCCAGTTTGGGTCAGCTGTCCTGCCTGTGCCCCCGCCCTGCTTCTTGAGTATCTCCAGCCTTCTCAGTCAGTAGAGCATGAGAAGTTGAAAAGGCCTTGATTTAGTATAAGCGCTACTTAGTGACAACTAAAACATTAGTGTGTTATCATCATTATTCTCATACTAAATCCAAACCACAGCACTATACCAGCTACTAGAAAGAAAATTAACTCTATCCCAGCTGAAACCAGGACAGTTACTTAGGCCCATGCCCCACTCAGCAGTGCAAGGAATGGAAGATACCATCTGCCCTTACAGATTTTGCTGCATTTGCATTCTAATCTAGAAAGTTCCCTCCCCTTTCTCCTTACCCTTTTACTCAAAGGATAATTCTCTAAAAGTGGGGGGTTCTGCACTTACACATACCTAACCAGTGTATCTTAGCTCACTCCTGAATAAGGAAAGGTTGCGGCGGACTTAGCACGCAACACATTTGGATATTAAGTATACAATGAGACCCCTGCGTAATACATTCTCCGCAAATCTTTTGTTGTTGAGCAAAACATGTAGGGATAAATACTGGCTTTCCATGGAGGGAATTGAAGGAGAAAGTTGTGCCTGAAAAGAACACATACTAGGAGATTGGGGAACGAAACCTGTTGACATTTGACTACCTCCTAAGAAAACATATCTCTAAAGGCAAGTCCTCAACGGTAGTAAGTCTTATTACCTATGTAGCAACAGAAGAAAGATTCCCTTTCTAAATCAAGGAACAAAATATGTAAGGTTCATGCTACAGAGATCTGGTTTACTCTATGGTTTCAGAGAGCTAGGTAATTTCGGAAGTGTAGCTGTCAACTACTTCTCACACAAAAACGTAGGCTGGCATTTGAAAATTCAGTGAAACTGAAGTGTAGCGATGCAATTTTCTGACGTATATCCCTCATTGCCCACAGATGTCCACTTGGAACAGGTCAGGTCCCTAACAGCAAAAGGGATGGACTATGTCTGTTTTACAGAACTGCTGCTATCCTAAAAAACAGTCTGGAGAAAGTTACAAGTGTGTCCATGCAACTCTTGTACCCAAGAACAGTTAAGTAAGCATTTCCATATTTATGGCATCCAGTGAGGATAAAAAGCAAGCAAATAGTGTTTTTTCTAATATTTTAATTGGTTCTTCTATTTTGTCATTTTTATAAATGGTTTGTTACTCATTT